TATATATATATATGTCTTAACTTTTTAATCGTAGATTAATTTTATATAAAATGAAACAGTAGCCTTTTATAAAAAAATGTCAACTGTTTTGTGCTGAGGACTCCATACAAGAAAAAACACTAACATTCAGAGAAATGAAAAAGTTTTTGCTGGTATTGTTTCTTATTTTTCTTATTCCATTTGCAAGCAGCCCAAAATAATTTTAATAATATTGACGAATTATTTTAACTTATACAAAAGAAAGTTAATAAATAAAAGTTAATTTTAAAGTAATTAGTTATTAGATTATATTAAAAGTTAACTTATTTAAAATTAACAAAATTGAAAATTAATCATTTTGTAATTGACTAACTAGTTATTGGCCAACCTTGATTTTATTACACCATATTATACTTAAACTAACATGTTACTTTTGTTGTTTCAGGAGTATTCCCTATTTATATTATCGGCATCCTCAAGATGATACTATTACAAAAAAGGCAACGCAATATACTCAACAGTTTTTAAACGCTGTAACGTCAAGTATTTCGGAACTATCATCATACCAAGACAAACATAAGCCGTTTGTGAACACGTTCATTCAGCCATTTGTATTTCTGAATCACTGTAATGGACTAAATTACGACCTCAGCGTGGAATATTCCTTATCTCGCATAGTTAACATTCTGACGGAAATATTGACAGTGCATTCTTCGAAATATTTAATATACGGATGCTGCGAGGCTCTTTTTCGCTTGAGCGAGACTTATCCCACGACGGTTTACATGAGAGGGTGGGACTGCATTCTGCCAAAGACAATATTGAAAAAATCTAAGAAAACTAGCGATCGATTGGATGCAAATGACGTCAGTTTCATAAACGATATAATTTCTTCTCCCGTAGGCAGTGGTCTCCTGTCATTGACATTGCCTCTGCTAACGTCCTCGACCATCAGCTTGGATCTCTCCACACACCGACACTTAATTCTTCTTGCCGGAAATCTGGCTTCCGGATTAGCCATTTGCAACTTCAAGATTGGCGATCCGACAAAATTGTGGAGTATGTGTAAAGACAGACACATGGAATTGTTGTTAACACATATCATACGAGTTCTGCACATATTCGTTTACGTGATCGACGAAGTGCAGTTGACACAAACCAGCGCTAAACCTGTGTTACCATCTTTATCGTCCGCGCAAACATTGTCACCCAAAAGAAAGATCATACCGGAACAGAAATCAAAGGAGAAACCGGATAAAATCGGAGGCTTGAAAGGTGGAAAGGATCAAATGGGCATATTTGTTGGTATACCACATTACATGAAGATATATGATATATTGAAAGCGGCACATGCTAATTACTTGGTCACTCTAGAGTACGAAGCCAGCGAGATGTATCTGTCTTTACTAAACGCAACATTAGATGTACTTTCCCAGATATTCGAAGTCGCATCCGTCAACGAAGTAGGCAAAATAGCGGAAGAAGTGTTATATTACTTGAAAAGTACCGTTACATTGTCACCGACCGCAACGGTCCAATGTGTGCAACAACTGTTGAAATGCTTGTTTGGTACGAATGTATATGCGCAATGGAGCGAGATAGACGTGCAAAAAAGTATGGATCGAAATACTTTACAAGATGATGTTAGAGGTTTTTACAACCAATGTTTTCAATATCCCGCGAGACAAATGGCGAATACGATAAAATGTATAGGAAATAATTGTAGAGGTGAAAATGAACCAGACAATGGGTAGGTATTTTGATATATCAATGTGAATCTATATGATAATGTCTTCCTCTTTTCACTTTCAGATGGGTAGGTTTACTACGTAGAAAAGGTGACCGCAAGTTTTCATCGGTATTTAAAAACTTGGCACGATCATCAGATCAAAAAGGTTCGGTGGCATCTTTCATCCGGCTCTTTGAGCCGATGGTTATAAAGTCTTTGAAACAATACACCGTTACTAGTAACATTGCGTTACAATGCCAAGTTCTGATGCTGCTGAGCCAATTGGTTCAACTGAAGGTTAATTACTGCTTGCTAGATTCCGACAAGATATTCATCGGGTTCGTGCTGAAGCAATTTGAATTCATCGAAGAAGGTTACACACAACAAACCGAAGAGCTTCTCCCGAAAATATTTAATTTCCTGGTACATTTATCTTACGAAAAGAATCATTCCAAAGCGATAATAGGTGTACCAAAAATAATTCAGTTATGCGATGGTCTGATGGCGAGTGGACAACCGGCAATTACGCACTGCATTCCCGCGCTCGCACCTGTCATCGAAGATATATTTCTTATTCGTAACGGGAGTTTGAGCGCAGCCGAACAACGGGAATTGGAAACTACAAGGGACGTGCTGATAGCCATGTTACTACGTCTTGCGGAGTATCCTCAAGTTATCGAGCTTTTAGCGCTTTGTTTGGCAGAATCGAGATTCAGCGGAGACGGAAACGGAGAAGAGAAATGGCGCAGATGGTCCAGATTAACTATGGACACTGTGCTTCCGATATTGGCGACAGGAAAACTCAGAATAGAATCCGAAAAGGCTCATGTCGCACTGGTGAAATTATTCGCGGCTATCTCGCCTACGGTATTCCGACCTGTGGACCCTCTCCTACGGATACTGTTCACCGCATCGATCTCCACGGCAGCTTCAACCCTCAAATTGAAACGATGGTTGGGCATGATTAATGTCGTGCTTCTCTCATTGATTTCCTGCGCCAAGGAGGAAGCAATGCTGGCGCGTCTTTCGGATCTCAGTGTGTGCGTGACGGACGTGTCACACTTATTCTCGTTGCAGGAATCCTCTGGACATACGGATCCCTTGAACGTACTGGGAGCTCAGTCGCATCAAATGCCATCTGAACAGATATTAGCTAGATTCATATTCAAAGTGATCAATTTGATAAGCTCGAAGGTGTTTAGTCTCCTTGGTCTGATAAACCATGAATCTGCGGATCCGTTCGTTAACTTCTCCGAATATACAGCTGACGACAACTATTTAGTACATCAATTCACATTTTTCTTGCAATTATGCATTCATATGTTTGAATCCGGTAGCCATTGCAAAGTGGCGAATGCAACAATGCAGATGATTCAAGAACGCAACATGTCGGAGGAGGAACAGTTGCCCATCGAACAGCTCAACTATTTAATGCTCAGTATCGGAAACGTATGCCCAACAGTGACGTGCCAATGGGCTTACCTGATGATCTTATTGGGATACAACGAGATGTCCTTCTGGTCAAAAATACTAGACAGCAGCAATAACGCCGACTATATCATGCGTAGTTGGTCGAGCGAGAAAAAACAGCACGATTCTACCAGTAGTATAAATGTACAGATTATCCGGAAAGGAGGCATTATATTGTTCTGTGATTATATATGTGAGAATCTGAATGACGTGGAACCGCTAACATGGCTGTTAGTGAACCACATAGAAGAGGCTATTAACATTGCCACTGAATCTCCAGTCAAAGATCTGTTAAGTACGGCTATACACAGAAATCCAGCGGCCAGCGGGCTGCTGGTGCAAGCCATCGCGACGAAATGCACGGATTTGTCGCAACCCAGTTTCATAAAGCGTCTATTGCAATGTATCGAAGGTGCTCATCACTCACAAAGCGGCGCGGTCATAATGACCTTAATACCCAGGTTATTGTCCACGAAGTATCTTGCCTTATCGAGGATGGCAGCAAAAATCGCCAGTCGCAGAGTAGAGATATTATTGACCACGAATGCAGAAGACGTAATCAGTCAATTGTCGAAGGATGATATCATGAAGATAATGGACATCCTGCAGATGACTAAGTTGGCTAGAAAACATGGCGGTTTAATCAGCTTATTGAATAAGCTGGCTGTGCAATACTACGACTTGTCGCCATTAGAACTTGATCAATGTCGGCCCTTCAATCCATCTACTGTGAAAAATATTCAGTTGGATCGAAATTGGTTCTTGTCTCAAGTGAAATTACGATGCTGCCACGCAAGCGCCGGCAACAATCCTATAGAATTAGCGCAGTTACTGAAAGATTTGGACTTTGATGATTGCTTGAGCATCCTTTCCTGCAAAGAGTTTAATTTGAAGATTTTGAAACATTGTATAATATTAGGAGCAAGACTCAGCGTCGAGAGGTGCCAAAAGTTAGAATTCGGTAAAGCCCAAAGCGAAAAAGATTTCAATTTCGACGCGAGCCCTTTGTACGTCGCAGCTAAACAGTGTTTACTAGAACATATTCGTTATATTTGCGAACTCATGCCGAAGCCGCATCAGATTTATAATCCAGAGGCAGACCACAGTAGCGGAAAGGAATTAAAGTATGTGACTAAATTTCATGAGTTATTAAACGATTCTCTTTATTGGGAGATCCTTTTCACGATAATCCCGACTGTTAAAATTTACATGAAGACGTTGCCAAAACTAGCTAAGTACAACGTAGCGAAGATTGATGTTAAATTCGAAGAGGACATCGCTAAGTTTTCTATGTTGTGTCTAGAGTTGACGCATTGGATGATCTATGCCAACAGAAGGAACTTCAAGAAATTGAGGCCACACGACATGGATCTCGCGCTGAGTTGTGCAGCGGAAATTCTCAGGCATGCTGCACCGAATAAAATCTTTGGTGACATCGCTCGTTATACATGGGTGTGCTCCGCAGCGATGTCCCTGACGAAAATTGTCGAAAGTATATTAATGACGATGGAACCCTTACCAGTAGTGGATTCGCAATCGTTAGAATCAGCTCTGCGAGATGAAAACACCAAGGACTACGCCCAAGCGTGTTTTCAAATGGCATCAATAGTGGTTTGGCTGGAAAAATGTCAAACAGAAAATTCCACGAAGAACATTCCACCGTATTTATTCGACACAATCAAATCGCTCATTGTTAGCATAAGTCGACAACCGTTAGTAAACTCTTACATCTTAACACCCCCGTTAGTATGGCAACGTGGCTGGCACGTTGTCGGCTCGGGTCCAACTAAATGTTACTTCCCACTGCTGTCGTCGGAGTCCAATCTTTTACAAGAAGTAGATATTCTGGAGCAATTTATTTATCGAGTAAACTTATTGGGTTGGACATCTAGGTCGCAATTCGAAGAAATCTGGATGGTATATCTGAGCGTTCTTAATTTCCTGCAAAACGAGAATACTCCGTCAGAGGAGGTAACGAGTTTGATTCAAACCAGCAGCCTGACAGTTCAAGCGATAACAAGATTATTATTGCAAACTCTTCTATTGCCATGTCCCGGCAATCCCGAAGCCAGCACTTTGATCCACCATCCTAGAGATCCCCAGCTTTCCGTACATAAAATTAGCTCTCAGAAGCTGTTCGCAATTCAAGAGTTACTTCTATGGAAGTATGAATACATGAATGATGCGGAAAATAAAAATGGATTGAAGCTGAATCACATTTTTCGCAGAGGAAACGTAGAGAGAATCGGGGCTATCGACAGATTCACGTACAGCCAACTGTCGGTCTCTTACTTATGGTCATTATGCAATTTATATGAAGATAAATTAAACGTTTCTGTTCTTGATTTGAAAAACAGACGAAACGATGCACTCATGTCTGCGTCGCTTGATTTGGACTCGTGTCTACGTTTTCTCATCGAACATTACACCAGCTGGATGTCACCGCAGGCTAACACATCTGTACAATTATTAACGGAAATTATCAAATCCATTCTGGCAATTTCGGAACTTTTTCTCGAACGATCGCAATATCAATGGATGCTAGACGTATGTTTAGAAGTATCGAGAACTCATCCAATGGAAAATGCGATTCTACACCAGTACTTGGCTATTTCAATATGCAAAGCTGCTGCCGTTTTAACGCCACTGGTACGAGCGAGGAGTTTAGTCGAGGATTTTCTGTTTAATAAGAGAAACGGAAATATCTTGTTTTTTTTCTTCAACTAATATTATTTCGTAGGACTTTGATACTTTGGACAAAGTAAAGCGCATAGTGGATATCAATTTAAAGTCAGGATTTTTACCCGCCAGAGTTTCCGCACTTCATGGCTCTCTGTATTTACTACAAAGCGCGGTACTAGCCAAATGTGAAGAAACGATGAATATTATACATCCGTTAGCTATTGAATACATACAGAAACATATTGACTCGCAAGATTCGAATGGGTAATTTCGAATTTTATTTCAGTTTATTCGTGTCAATAGAACATATACAAGATTGAGTCATTATATCTTAGCGTTAAATTTGAGATTAAATTAAATTATTTAATATTATTTAATATTAAAATTACATTAAATTATTTCTTTAAATAATTTCCTTAATTGTTTCGTATTATAAAAAGGTTCTAGGAAAAATATTCTGTTCAATAGGGTGCATCAAATAATCGAAATTAATTTTCTGCAGATGTCACGTTTTCAAACTTCAAAGTTATCCTGACTTGATATAGAATACGTTTTAAATTTATCGCAAGATCATGATATTGCAAATTATTGAACTCATTTTTACATTAACTACAATTCTGATAAAAATATTTTTTCGTGTATAATTTTATAAATTATTTTATAAATTATTAAAAATCTTACAATTATATTAAAAAATGTGTTCTATATTATATGTTTCCGTATTATAGTCAAAGTGATTTTGAAATCTTAAAAAAATATGAGACAAGAAATTAATTTCAATTATTTGATATGTCCGGTTAAATAGAATATGTTGTTCCCGAGACATTCTTTTGTCATCTGTTTGAAACTAAAGAAGTTTCAGGTATATTAAGATATATAGTTACTCGTATATCGAAAACTTATTGACTGATTTATTTATCCATTTAGTCGAATATAATTTACCTAATTAGATCTACATATCCAATATAATCGAATAGTATATTTAACTTATTTTTTCTTTGATACAGCGTTCTAAATCAAAGTGAAGAGCATCAAGGGATAATGTGGGCTTTAGTGTTCTTTTTGCTGGAGCATGCGGAAGACACGCCGCCAGACACGGAAGCACCAGCCGTGTTAGAATTAGTTCTTTCTCTAGTCACGTTTCCGAATATCTCGTATGGTTTGCATCAGACCTTACTGCAGGTATGTTATGACGCCTTTCACGCAATCGCTCAAGTAACGCAGTATGAAAACTGCCGATTTGCCGACAGGGTCTTGAGAGGCTCGTCGCGACGAAAAGCGTGGTCGGGAAGGTTGCTGAACAAATTGTTAAAGTTGCGATAGATCGGCTGAAGCAATCGAGCCCGTTGCTAGCACTACCTGCTCTGCAACTTCTATTGACATGTATGTACACGGAAGCGGCCGATCGGCTAAATCAACCCGGTGTGGAAGAACCTTTGCCGGACGTAGAACCGGAAGCATTGGTCAGATCTATAGAACGTACTTCTGCGATATTCGATAAAATTCGAAAGGGACATCCTATGGAAGTGGAAGTGCTATGTACTGTTCTTTCCGGCGTCCTCGGAGACTTCTTCCCCCCGTCAGAAATCTTGACGAAAGTTATAGGAGAATTTCTGTCGCCACAACAACCGCATCAGAGATTACTCTCTGCTGTTGTTTTTAAGGTTTATGGGACGACAATTGCAATGATACTGCGCCACGATGGAGCATTATTCAACTTGATTTACTTTTTCTTTTTTTTTAGGTCTGTGAGAAAGCATGTACTTGCACGGAAATGGAACTTCTTCAAGATTGGGTAGTATTTAGTCTACCCAACTTTATCCAGAGTTTACCAATGGCGATGTCGACTTGGTGTTTATCTTGTTTCTTTATAAGCGCTTCGACGAATCATTGGTTGAGAGCGTTGTATCCTTTTTCTGTTGAGATAAATTCACAATTCTGTATAAAGAGAAATAATGTTTCCTTAGCTACAGCTATGACAGGTTTCCGTACGTTCAATCAAGAATCGGCAAGTATGAGTACGAAGACAAGAAGATGTTATATATAGCCGCTTCAGACTTTTATCACAAGGTAAATTAACATAATTTTTAAGTCACATATTTTATAACTTATATTATTGTTCATAATTTTAGCTATCTAAAGAATCTCAAAAAAAAGCGTTTATTGAGACATTCGAAGCAGCAGCAAAGGAACCTGGAACTCCATTCAGTGACATTCTAGCCTCTTTTTAATTAACACTTGACTATAGCTGAAAGTAATTCAACTATAAAATAAGAATATTACAGAAATGTCGCTTTTAATTTTCAAGTTATGTAAAAATTAATGTGCAATCACTCGCGCGTTAGCGAGTTGCATCGTGCACGTGTGTACATTTGTACGTATAAGAATATTTATTTTACATTACACTCCCTTTTGTGCAACATACACACACAAACCATACAAACATGAAAAGATATGCAACTTGTTTTGCAATAGACAGTATTTTTTAAGTAAATGGACTATGTTGATTTAGACCTTTAAAACTAAAATATAAAAACTATCGGTCATAGGACCAATTCGTCACCTTATTTTTCATGAATTTTCCAGTTACTACTTTTTTATTGTTTATGTTTTATATAGTATACTCATATGTGCAGAGCAGGATTGTGGATAATTAAATATTATTTAAGTTAATTATCGTGTTTAATTGACGATTGATATGAGCCAATTCAATTGGCTTTTTTAATATGAGCCAGTTCAATTGGCCTTTTTAATATGAGCCAATTTAATTGGAATTCCGACTGAAACAGCAGAATTTCCGGTTAATTGACACTTTATAAAAATAATATATTTTTTCCTGAAAAGTAGACACTCAGCTTTCCAACGCGCTCTTGATCGTTCCGAAATTCCAATCCTAACATTTTCTATAAATTAAAAACCGTAATGGAAATCAGATTTTTGGAACGTTGTATTTCTGGAACAAAAAATCGGATCAACTTGATATAGGTATAAAAATTTTCAGCTTGTCGAGATCTTTAAAACGGTACCTATTTCATCTATTGATCTCACTGCTTTAGAATGAGGCACATTTTGGCCACCCTCTTCGTTGCTTTCATGTTGACAATATCGTCAATAGTCGCGAATGTGGTTAGGCGTCGCCACTGAAATATATATTGTAACGTCCGGATCTATTTTAGAACATTAATAATATATTATTATAGACCGGGAGGCCGACTTGTCTGATTTCAGACATCACTAGATATTTTATCCCTATGTTACTAGATGTAAGTACGTGCGCATATGCATATTCGCGAGCGTTAAAACATTATAATTAAAATGCCGAATGCTGCGTGCTGCTGGAGAGTCTCGAAATCAACGGATCGATCCAAAGAAACCGCTATCGCTCAGTGCGATAAGCCAACATAAACAGGAGCATGAAAACTGAATCCCAAACACCACTCAGGACACCGACGCGGTGACATCATGCAAAGGAATGAATCTCTTCCCTCGCCATAACTCCATGGACCAATCGGAGAACGACTCTCAGCGACAAAGCGACATATAAAAGCGCGCGCATTTGTAGAGAAGGCAATATATATAATTATTTTCTTCTCATAGTTAGTCTCTGGTAGCTTCGTGTACTTATTCAGCATATTATACTTAGTCGTAAAATCCGACTGTGTTGCAATTACTTTTGCCTACCCTTCATATTTCAAACATTGCGAAATCAAATTCTGAATCGCGGGCCGCATCAACCCGCGTGGTATCGGAACTTCCGAGGCCGAGCCAGGAGAACAAGCACCGCTGATTTTCCGCCAGATTCATCAATCGTTTCGCCAGGCTCCCGAGACCCAGGGTAAACTCGGTGAAAAGCAGAGTGACCCAAAAGCGGAGTCATCACTCTGTTGACCGTCCACGTAAGTCACTGATTTCACTACTTTCAAATTTCCCTATATAGTTATTTATCGTGGACGTAACAATGGGTGTTACGATAATTCGAGTTGGAGTTAGTACGAGTTAGTTTCACTAGAGTCGAAAAATATGATAGGCACAAGCATCTAGTATTTTCATGATTCATGACAACTCAATGCTGTCCGATAAATCGAGTAGAGTTAGGATAACATAGTGGATAGTATATGTATAAGAATTAACAATATCAGGTAACATAGTTTCGTAAAATATATAACAATAATATTACGAATCAATGAGTTGTTACATTTTAGAAAAATTAGAAGCACTAAATTAAATTATGAAAAGATATCATGTATTTGTAAAATATTCAA